TATAATATTTTTTTTATTTTAATATAAATTGATCTTTTTATCATTTTCAATTAAAACATATTAAAATTAAAAGGGTAAAAAATTTCAAAAAAATAAAATAACATAGTTTGAAATATGTTATTTTACCATTCTGGCCAAAAGGATTTTTCCGTTCATATTAATTAATACTTAAATTTGTATTTTGAAAATAAATTCATCTCGCTTTGATACTTAAAAGTGACGATTTAATTTTTTAAATATTTGATAAGTAAATTAAATAAAGTACTATTAAATTGGTGCGTGCAAATATTCAATAAAAACATCGTATTAGTGAAAACAATACAATACAATACAATATATGTAACAAAACTTACAGCTTGTTTGGATGGTTGTTACCCGTTGTATCGTATTGTATTGTATGTAAAATATAATGTTTGTTTTGATGTTACTTAAATTCTATTGTATTATGTAGTTTGAATCCATCGTTAGGTAATAACGAAAAGATCCATCTTCTCATTTTGTCTTTATTATTTAATAATTATATTTTATTTTTTACCCTACATGTTCATAGTAGAAGTACCCGTACCCTATTTTTCTCCTAGTTTTATTATTCAAATCATGAATTTGTGACAGTACGTAAGGATGTAGAACAATACAATCTATCCAAATATTGTATTCATTAAAACAATACAATTTATCGAAATATTATATTCATTAAAACAATACAATACAATCTATAAAAATATTGTATTCATTAAAACAATACAATACAATCTATCGAAATATTGTATTCATTAAAACAATACGTAACAATCATCCAAACAAAGTGTTACTTGATTGTATGATTATAATAACTTGGTTATTTCTCATAACATACATTAGAGTATAATTTAAATGTAATTACATCTTTTAATAGCCAAACTATAAGAACCAAAATGTAAAAAAAAAAAACTATGTTAAACGATGTCGTCTAGCTCAAAGGGCAATAAGGAAGGACAAAATTGGAATTGTGAAATAGCTAGGGTTTAAATTTATAAGCTGATAAAACCCAGCTCTTGTAGAGCCGTCGTCCGTCTTTGAGAACATCGAAACCCTAAGGACCTCCGTCACCGGCGACAATGGGTAATAGAATCTATTCATCATTTCATATTGTTAACTCTGCAATTTGTTTGTTTAATATGTATAATTGGAATAGCGAAGTGAATTTAATGGAAAAATTTACTGTGATATTGTGTAGGTATCTCTCGTGATTCTATGCACAAGAGACGTGCCACTGGAGGAAAGAAGAAGGCTTGGAGGAAGAAGAGAAAGTATGTACAAATTATTCATATTTAAGCAGCAATATATTTTTTTGATAATTGGATTAACGTGATCTGCAAAATTTAGCATGATTGAGGATTTAGAGTTTATTCAGATTGTTCGATGTATAGCAGTAGATCTGGAGGCTGCTCATTTTTTATTTTTTATTAGTAATTCCTCACTTATGCGTTGATATTGCGTTATTATTTTGAATATAATGAAATTTGTACATGCATCCAATTCTATGGAGTTTAGGTTAATGATGTGTACGTATATTGCTCGTGATCTCCAAAAATGTTGTAGAACCTGTTTAAGTGGACCTACGTTGATCGGAATCTCCAAATTTGCACTACTTTTGGAGGATTGGCATTTTTGAATAGTCTGAGTAACAGATGTGGACTAAACATAACAATTCAATTGGCTTTAGGGAAGTTTTATAAAGGAAGCAGCTTTGATGAAATTTTAAAGTTAGTTCTTTTGTCGGGGATTCCCTGTTTTTGTTGCCTAATGATATGGAGTTAGTCTAACGAATGGGCTGATACAATAAGGGAAAATGTAGAAAAGAAAGGTTTTTTGGAGAAGGAAATGTAGAAGAGAAATCAAAAAGCAAAGGAATTTAGCTGTAATTGAAGAGAAGAAAAACATGAAAAGGGGATTGATATCTCATTGATCCGTTCCTAACAATGATGAATATAACTGACTTAAGCCTATGCGCGGATCATTTTTCCCAGCTGATATATTACTCAAACTAACTAACAAGAAGGATATGACTAAAATGAAAAGTTACTGATGTGTACTACTGCAAATTTGGTATGCTTCCTTCCTGATTATCGGGTAGTCTCTCACTTGATCAGGGATTTTGTTAATTTCTGATATAAAGTGACTGTATGTATGAATAATCTGTCTTTTTTGTGGTTGTATTTTGAGATTGACTCCGTATCTCCTGTTTCTGTGAAGGTATGAGCTTGGCAGACAGCCAGCAAACACAAAGCTGGTGCCAAATGCTAAGACTGTTAGAAGAATAAGAGTCCGCGGAGGTAATGTGAAGTGGCGTGCTTTGAGATTGGATACTGGGAATTTCTCTTGGGGTAGCGAGGCTGTTACAAGGAAGACTCGTCTATTGGATGTGGTGTATAACGCCTCCAACAATGAGTTGGTTAGGACACAAACCCTGGTGAAGAGTGCAATTATTCAGGTTGATGCAGCTCCATTTAAACAGTGGTATCTCCAGCACTATGGAGTTGAAATTGGTCGCAAGAAGAAGACTGCTGCTTCCAAGAAGGAAGGAGAGGTATTTGATTGTCTTTTTTCAACTCCATGCTTATTTGATACTATCTTCCTTATCGATGATTCCATTATTAGGTTTATTTTATTTGTCTTGGGGAAATCATGAATGGACATTCTTAATCTTAAGAGGTTTTTTCTTTACTGTTTGTGCTGTTGGTGGTTCTAATCCAAAAAGAAGTGGAAACTGTCTTTATAATAAAGGTTGCAGCTTTAGCTTCAACCAAATTCAATGGAAGTCTTTCTCTGTTTTGATAACTTCTTTTTCGTTGATCCAAACAGGAGGCTGAGGCTGTAGCTGAGGAGAAGAAGAGTAACCATGTCCAAAGAAAGCTGGAAAAGAGGCAACAGGATCGCAAGATTGACCCACATGTTGAGGAGCAATTTGCAAGTGGGCGTCTATTGGCTGCAATCTCATCACGACCTGGCCAGTGTGGTCGTGCTGATGGGTATGAATTCTCTTATCGTTATGTATATTATATTTTGGTGAAAAATGCCAAATTCCATTTTCTTACACACTTTCTTTCAACGAACTATGACAGTTACATCTTGGAAGGAAAGGAACTTGAGTTTTACATGAAGAAACTTCAGAAGAAGAAAGGGAAGGGTGCCGGTGCTGCTGCTTAGAGTTGCAGGCTCCAATTTTTAAATTATCAGAACCAATTAGATTCTGGTTTTTCTTCCCTATTCAACAGTCTCACTTCATTGAAAGGGAATGATAAACTTCTTGTATCAGAGTTAGATTCAAGTTTGTTTTGCATATGGTTAACTGAGAATTTTGAGAACAACCTACTTTATGGAAAAAAAGAATTTTGAGAACAGCCTTAATTGCATCATTAACTGTTTTCTTAATCAGTGTAGTGTTAAGATGGACCTTCTGCTGAACTTTCATCTTGTTTGTTGCACTTCCAATAGATACCTTCTAACAATTCATGGGGATCACAGGTTTCATATCATTACGGGGTAGAGAAGTTGTGTCCGATAGACCCTCAGTTCAAAATAAAAGTACCCCTACCTCTACGATCAATCTCTCACACATCCTCTCTGACTATTACGTCTCCTCTTCACATATCTAAATCAAAATTCAACCTCGCATCTTTCATCATGTTCACTATTGAAGTTACTCGTCTTACCATCAATCCATTCCCAATCAATGTGAAATTTTTACCCAATAACAGTAATGCTTAAGCCTTGACAACACATTCTTTACCCCACTGTAACAAACAACTATCAAGTCAAATTCCTTAATTAGTTTAGTATACATATCAAATGTAAATAAATATGTGGTATTGCAAACGGATACGACATCAAAACGATGGTATTGCATCATCATTTGCTACAATAAATATACTTTGAAAGAAAAAAAAATGAAGTGTCAAAATTCATGTGGAAGTTGGACTATATTTTCATATTGAGACTAGTCTTTGTAGTAATCCAATCCAACTATACATCATTTTATTTTATTTTTGACTAATTCTAATTTTACAAGGCTATATTTATTTTCGTCATGCTTTTGTTCTTATGACGCTAACAATTAATGGACCCCTCTCATAGATAGATATTTTTAGAAATAACACGCAAATAAGTTAATGTCAGAATATTCAGGATTTTGGTCTACTTGATTTGATTTCCCTAATTGTCATTTCATAGAATCTTGTTCTATGAAATATGGGGAGTTTTTCATTTTTCAGAGGATCTTTACACAAATAATCGATAAATATCTTTTTATTTTCCTAGTCGATATATATATATATATATAATTTTTATTTTGGTCATTGTGCCATGTAATTACTATCGAAGTCGTTGTACTCCTTCAAAAATGCTCAAATATGATTTCTAAATAGACCCTAAAAGGAAGGCAAAACGGATGTTTGAAATGGAAAATTAAACAAATATAGTCATTTGAACTGATGAAATATTAATTTATCGTCTAATATCTATAAAAATTTATTAAATAACTATCTATATTCGTTTTTTAACTTGATCTCAACTGACATTTATGTTCTCTAACTTTAGATCTGGTTGCACAAATCAGTTCGAGTGTATCTCACAACGTATGACGCGGTGTGTTTACTTGTTCAACTTTATACAAATTTAAATAAATATCTACTTACATACCTTATAATTGAAGCGTATAAATGTTATCTAAAGTCAAGTTAAATAATACGTTTATGTTTAACGGAAAAAAAGTGCTTGTGAATGGAAAATGGGGAGGCATCATGGAAACGTTATGCTGACGTGAGAAGTAAATATATAAACAAAAACAAAAAGATAAAAGGTGCCTGCATCTCAAGGAAACTCCCTCTTCCTTTCATATATTTTGACTTAATTGCCAATTACACACTATATATAATACTAACACTTTATAATAAGTTGACACACAAACCACACAAATATAAACTACAAACAAAACTCATAAACAAATATAAAAGTTTTTCTAATTTAGTACTTTTAGACAAGACAAAAATGTCAATTGTAAGAGAACCTCGTTCTATTGCAAGAAAATTTTTGGCAAGGCCTCAACAAGAAGGCCTTGGAGCTGTTGTTAGAAGAAGTATTGGAAGGTATATATACACTTTTTAAATTTTTCGCTCCGATTTTGGTGGGACTATACTGAATACGTTGTTGTTTTTAATACAATATGTTTTTCATCTTTCCTTTCATTTGAGGGTCTATTGAAAGATAGGGATAAAATCTGCTTACACTCTATCCTCTTCAGACCCTATATGTGGAACTATATTGAGTTTGTTATTATTGTTTAAGTCAATTACATTTCAAAATTTAATCTTCAATCAAATTTTATTGTTTTTCTCATATATTTATGTTCTACGTCGAAAATTGACATTTTTTTGTATTTTTCATATCTCAGGTTTGAGTTAAGATACTTTGATCCATTCATTGTTTTGGATGAATTCTCAGGTATGTTTAATTAAATTCTTGGATTAATTACTAACTGAATTTTTTAGCATTTTATCCATATGTTAATCTCTTCTTTTTTGTCTAATTAAAATTAATTACAGTTTCTGCTCCAGCTGGTTTTCCTGATCATCCACATAGAGGTAGCAATTAGCATTCTAATTATTTAATTTGTTCTAATTTTTCCCATCTAAAATAATTTTCAAATCTCATCACTATTTTTTTCTTGAATTTTACAGGCTTTGAAACTGTCACGTACATGTTGCAGGTATTTTTATTTTCAATTTTACACTTTTAATAATTAAAAAAAGAGAAAGAGAAGCAAATTAAGATATTAGGCTTAACCCATCGGAGCCTCTACTGGATAGACTGAACGGAATCCCTCTTATTACTTCCTCCGGTTGATACGGAACTCGTGGAAGCTGATTCAATGGACCAGCTTTGTTTGGCCCCTTAAAAGTTGACACGGAATTTCACTTAGATATGACAATATTCATTTTAAACACCTTATGTCGGCTTATTCTATTTAGTAATTAATAGTCTCTTTCACATGCTGTTGGTGTAAAAGGACTAAATTAATTTCCACGTTTCAGAAAATTAAAGGAGTAGTTGAATAAATGTGATTGTTCAGCTTAGAAGGATCAAAATAAATATTTACTTATAAATGACTTGATTAATTTATGTTTAAACAGTCAGCACATAAATGTCCATTTTGTTTTTGTATCCTACATTTCATGATGTTGACAATTATTTAGGTAAAAAAACAACAACATTTATATGTTAATTTCATATTAGTTGAAATCAAAGCAAGTTTTTTATATTATTATTTTGTACAACAGGGAGCTGTGACACATGAAGATTTTGATGGACACAAAGGCACAATTAAAGCAGGTGATTTACAATGGATGACTGCTGGAAGAGGAGTAGTTCATTCAGAAATGCCTGCAACTGAGGGAATTCAAAAAGGTTTACAATTATGGATTAACCTCTCCTCCAAACACAAAATGTAAGTTTATTCCGCGTTCGATATTCATATATTTTAAGGTTGATTGATTTAAATTTGCGTTGTATAAGGCTCATTAAGGAAGAAAACATATTTCTTACAAATATTATTCTAATTAGAGGTGGATCCACATGATTTGGTGGGGTGCATGTGCACTTGTTAATTTCGGAAAAAATCATGTATATCTATCTTGAGAAATCGACAACAAGTAATGTATAATTAACAGTGCACCCATGAGGTGATAGTACAAGCTAAATGAACCACCTGTGAGACCAGGGTTCAAATTGATCAACTACTACCCTATTTCACTGTTTTTATTTTAAGTGCACCCCGAAGTCTTCAAATCCTGAGTTTGCCTTCGAATCTAATATCTCTATGGTTTTTAACAGGATACAACCAAGATATCAAGAAATATCAGGTGCAAACATAGGAGAAGCAACAAAAGATGGAGTAAAAGTGAGAGTTATAGCAGGAGAAGCACTAGGAATAAAATCAACTATACACACAAAAACTCCAACAATATATTTGGACTTTACTCTAAAACCAGGATCCCAAATTCAACAACCAATTCCCAAATCATATAATTCATTTGTATATATTTTAGAAGGTGAAGGTATTTTTGGTCAAGATTCAAGAACAAATTCACCTATATCTTCACATAATTTGTTGCTTTTAAGTGGATTTGGTGATGGACTTGTGGCATGGAATAAAGGGACAAAAATACTAAGGTTTATATTAGTAGGTGGAGAGCCATTGGGTGAACCAATAGAACAATTGGGACCTTTTGTGATGAATACTCAAGAAGAAATTGATCAAACTATTGAGGATTTTGAGAATTATACTAATGGTTTTGAGAAAGCTAGGTATTGGAGATCTCAAGCTAGAGTTGAGCTTGGTTATTAATTATTGATAAGTGGAAATTTACAGATTCGACTGATTCAGATTCTCGTCGCTTTTGGACTAGGAAAAGCATTGTATATCATATATATACAGAGTATATATCATTATATTCTTAGCATAACTGATAAAGTCGTTGGGGTGACATGTTCGAGCCGTGGAAACAACGTTATGCATATATACAAGACATAGACTATGCACAATAAACCTTTGTAGTTTGATAGTTTCTCGAACCCCGCATATAGCAGAAACTTAGTGTTTCAAATTGTCTTTTTTTCTTTTATCCTTGATTCTTTTGTTGTTACCATATTTTCCTTGTTTCCATGCACACTTTGAATATAACAAATAATTTTAAATGTCAATGATATGGCTGAATATATTAGTATTTGTTTGTTTTTTGATATACATCTCAGACTTTGAATAGTCCGTCTTAAAATTATGACAAATTTATGATGATTTTATTCTTCCGTCACATCAAAGCTTGAATTTATGACGAATTATTTCCAGACCTACCTTTGTTCCAATAGAAGAAAAAGAATATAAAAAAACCTGATCAAGTAATATGAGTTATGAAAACTTTTAATAATGCTATTTTTTTGTTGGAACATTTATTTTTCTCAAAGATCATTGACTCGTGCTTTATGGGCACATCAATTTTATTTTTTATTTTTTGATTCTTTATAAAGTTGGCAAAACTTAGGTGGTACGCAATTATATTAACATGGTCAGATATTATAATTAATTAATTTGCCATATTAGCTATAGTCACAATCCATTCACATGCAACTTGAGAATAGTACAAAATGGTGAAATTTCAATAACTTTGACTAAATGGAATAAATAAACAAAAATGTTATAAAAAAATGTCCTTAATTGTTTGGTTCAAGATGGAAAGCAAGCAAAAGTCATAGTATATAAATTTAATTTTGACTCCAATTCTATTCTACACTTTTTTTATTTACTTAAATTTTTATTTGTTATTCATTTAATGCTCCACAAATTTATATTCATATTTAAAAAATTCACTCTAAGACTAAAGTGTTCATAAAAAATGGTTTAATTTTCATAATTCAAAACAAGATTTCTAATTAAGAAATTAATTATATAAATATCCTTTAAAGTATAAAAGTATAATACAATTTCCAACATATATGAAGTCCAATAAAAAAGAAAAAAACTCCCTACTGTTAATTATATAACATATAAATGTACAATTCTTTAGACACAATTAACCCTAAATTATCTATAATTATTACTACTTCTTAAGAAATATGATCGTAAAAATTTATCTACATTCAAAAATTTACTATAGTTGGTTAATTTAATAACGTATACATATAAATTTACAATTTTCAAACACAATTAATTCTAAAGAATTATCTATAATTACTTTTTTAAGAAATATGATCGTAAAAATTTATTTACATTCAAAAATTTATTATAGTGAAGTAATTCAACAGGTACAAATACAAGTTAATTAGTCACTATTAAATACTAATACAAATATTATTACAACAATAATAACATATTTATCCGTTTAGTTAAGTTATTTTATAAATATAAATACAACTGGTAATAGTGCAACTGAGAGAGAGAGAGGAAGAAGAAGAAGATGAACAAGAAAACGCTGAAAATTCTTCTTTCTCTCTTTGCTCTCAACTCAATCACTCTTTATCTCTACTTCTCTTCACACCCAGATCATTTCCGCCACAATTTCCCCAAAAACCACTATATTACTACCGGAAACCGCTTTTCTTCATCGGAAAACCACCCAAATTTGCACTCCTCCGTCGTTTCCCAATCCAAACCATGGCCCATATTGCCGTCTTACCTCCCTTGGTCTCAGAACCCCAACGTTGGTTGGAGATCCTGTGAGGGTTATTTTGGAAATGGGTTTACTCGTAAAATCGATCTTCTCAAAACCTCGCCGGAAATTCACCGGAAATTTGGTGAAAACAGAGATTCCGGAGGAGGAGGAGGATGGTTTAGGTGTTTTTTCAGTGAGACATTGCAGAGTTCGATTTGTGAAGGAGGGGTAATAAGGATGAATCCGGAGAAAATTTTGATGTCTAAAGGAGGAGAGAAATTGGAAAAAGTAATAGGAAGGGGAGAAGAAGAAGAGTTACCCATTTTTGAAAATGGAGCTTTTGAGATAGAGGTTAATGAAAGAACAAAAATTGGGAAAAAATTAGCTGATGAAAATTTCTTGAATAAATATTTACCTGAAGGTGAAATCTCAAAGCACACTATGAGGGAATTAATCGACTCGATTCGATTGGTTGGCGCCAATGATTTTCATTGTTCTGAGGTTTGATTTTTTCGAAACTTTGTTTGATCTGATACTCCCTTTGTCCCTAATTACTTGTTCACTTTTCCTTTTATAGTTGTCCCTAATTACTTGTCCATTTTGACAAATCAAGAAAGGATAAAAGTTTTTTACCTATTATATCCTCAACTAAATGACTAATTACTTTGAAAAATACAGAACTTTTCATCCACTTCATAATTAGCAGGGAAAAAATGATAAATTCACTATGTCATTAGTTGATTTCTTAATAGGTGTGCCAATTCAAAAGTGGACAAGTAATTAGGGACAGAGGGAGTATTAAAGTTTTGATCTTTGAGAATGTTGTTTGATCTATTTAATGAAGACTGACTTATTTAATTGTTGCTTGAAAAGTAGCTCAGTGTTATAAATGTTGTTTTATATGTGTCATTAAAGAGAATTCCTTGAAATCTGGAGTAGATGATGGATAACATGAGTTAATTAACTTTTGGATTATCGTTGCACTTCATTTGATTAGATTATAGATGAAGTGGTGATTTTGGAATGTTTTACTAAATATTTTGTTAAGATTTAGAGTTTATCTAGACCTTTAATTGTAGTTTTGGATTTGAATCCATAAAGTTATCGAATTTATGGACCTCGAAGAGTATTCATTGTGGGTAGTTAACGACCTTAAGTTGGCAAATGGTCAGTGTATGTGATCTAAGGTGAATCCTACAACTTTTGATGTCTAGCATAAGAAAGTTAGTTAATTTACGTGCTGTCCCTTTCTTAATGTTGATTCTTTTACTCTATTGATTCTTTTGTTTGATTGATACTTGTAGTGAACCATGGACAGATTTAGCTATATAGAAAAAAAATGACTCAAACAATGTGTTCTCCTTTTTCTCTTTATTTCCATTTTACAAACGGAATATGGTAGCATTTGTCTGAGCTGGCCAGCTTTATTCCTGTAATACTTCAAAATTAATTTGAGTAAATGTGTTTTGAAGCATACTTGCACAACTGGTTGTTGCATATTGAGGACTATCGACTTGATTTGACTGTGTCCCGAACATGGTTTGTATGTTAGGAGCAACTTATAGCTAGGAGGAAACCTGTACCAGATAGGGACCTTCACTTGCTTATTAGCTACGGAAAGTTCCAGTTAATTTTAGATCTTCGCCGTGGTATCATTTTAAGTTTAATCAAAATCCAAAGCACTGTTGTGCACTAACAAGAGGAATACATGAAGGATGTAGCACTGTTAGGTTACGTTACCTTATCCACTAATGAAAGAGAATCATCTGAAATGATGATAAGTGGTCTTATATTTTCTGTTTTAGATTGCTCATTCTTGGAATATTTATGAGATGAACATTTTTTCAGTTCTTTATGCGCTTATCAAAAAGTTATTCATGCTAGATATCAGTGTTCAAGCAGCCATGTAAGGAAGCTCTGTCTTTTACTAATGCCATCTTTCTGTAATCGATGCCTTACATTGCTGTCATTTTTCTAATTTTTATTTCAGTGGATTGAAGAACCATCACTTTTGATTACGCGATTTGAGTATGCAAATCTTTTTCATACAGTTACTGATTGGTATAGTGCATACGCGGCATCCAGAGTTACTGGCTTACCGAGTCGGCCACATTTGGTTTTTGTAGATGGCCATTGTGAGGTACGTTTGAAAGTATTGTTGATTATGATGTGCTGCACTGTTCTATATCATAGATGAATGTGGAATTAGTAATTATTCTCTAGCATGCAATGCACTTGAGATTCTTGTGTCAAGTTGGTCGTTTTAATACCCAGTTTCCCTTTGTTTCAGCTTTCTATGTGACACAGCCATTAACTCAGTACCTAGTTGTTGCAATTGGCTCATTCTTACTTCTATTTACGTGTCACTGTTTATTTGAATGGTCCCTTGGTGGTCAAAAAGAAGTTTTGTTATGAAAAAAGTTAGCAATTATTTCATTTCTGGACAATTTATCGTCACCTTACTTGTACATTCCTTCCTGTTGCATGCTTAATAGTTAATACTTTAATGGGACTCACGTACATAGCCTACACTTACATGTGCTGAAAGCTCTTTCACTCCACTGCTGTAATCTTGATGAATTTTACTTGGCCAAGATTGTTTTTTGGTGTTTGATTTATCTTCAAATTCAGTTTCTTCATGTTATTCTTTTGAATAACTGTTTTTACTCTTTTCTGTTTGAAAAAAAAAAAAAACAGACACAATTGGAGGAAACATGGAGAGCACTGTTTTCAAGCCTCACTTATGCTAAAAACTTTAGTGGTCCGGTTTGTTTCCGCCATGCTATCCTCTCGCCGTTGGGATATGAAACTGCCCTGTTTAAGGGGCTTTCCGAAAGTATAGATTGTATTGGAGCTCCTGCCCATGATTTGTGGCAAAATCCCAATGATAGAAAAACTGCACGGTTGTCCGAGTTTGGAGAGATGATCAGAGCAGCCTTTGGATTTCCTGTGGATAGACAGAACATCCCAAGGACAGTCACTGGCCCTAATGTCCTCTTTGTTAGACGTGAGGATTATTTAGCTCACCCGCGTCATGGCGGAAAGGTACAGTCTAGGCTTAGCAATGAACAAGAAGTATTTGATTCCATAAAGAGCTGGTCCTTGAACCACACGGAGTGCAAATTAAATGTGATTAACGGATTATTTGCCCACATGTCCATGAAAGAGCAAGTTCGAGCAATCCAAGATGCTTCTGTCATTGTTGGTGCTCATGGAGCAGGTCTAACACACATTGTTTCTGCAGCACCAAAAGCTATAATACTAGAAATTATAAGCAGCGAATATAGGCGCCCCCATTTTGCTCTGATCGCTCAGTGGAAAGGATTGGAGTATCATCCCATTGATTTGGAGGGGTCTTATGCAGATCCACCAGTCGTAATTGACAAGCTCAGCAGTATTTTGAGGAGTCTTGCCTGCTAACTCTACTCAACAGTTTGAACAGTTTGGCTTTTCTCTAAAAGACTGGAACTTGGAGCCTGAAAATCGTGTAAAATATGTTTCATCTGCAGTTCTATAGTTTTGCTGCAATCTTGATCCTCAATCTGGTGTTCTCAAGCTTCACAGTTTCTGGCAGTTACTAATTTATTAGCCCTCTCAGTTATGGACTCTCAGAACGATCGTTATGGTGAGCTCATTGAAGATATTCTTTATGGTGCAAGATTACAAGTCACTCGTGACACACACATTTGTAAATCACATTAGGTTGGTACAACTTCCTTACAATTCGTTGTCAATTGTTTTCTGCAATTTATTATCTTCTTGTTCTGGGAAGACACAGATTAACAAACAAGTTGAAGTAGCAGATTAACAAGTACCTCAGTGTAGTGTTCAGTGAAGATATGGTTGTAACCAAACAAAAGAAATGAGAAATTTAACAGAGATTTTCGCGTATTTTTAGCTCTCTATCTATGTTATTTCTCTTAAATCCATCGATTTGTGTTCTTCAAGTTGTACATATAGCATATTTTCTTATTTTTCAGATGTTGGTGTGTCTCCTTAATGCGGGATACTTTTTTCACGAGCTATCTTTTTTAGTTGCGCTTGAAATGAGCAACCTCATTTTTTGAAAGTGAAACATTCAAGAATAGGACTACTAGGCCAAATTTGTCTGAGGAAGTATGTAATCAAAGTGCTATTTAAAAAAAAAAAAAAAATTACGCATTTTTACAGTAACCTTAACTTAATATACAATAATAATTAAATTTACAAATCAAAATCCATTGAAATAAGCAATATGTTTTTTCTATAATGAAAATAGATAAAAAATATCAAATAATTATATCATGGTAAAACCTCACGAAATGTTTATACCAAAACAAAAGAATACCAGACATGCGTCTTTTATATATAATTACATCACTTAACAATAATTAATATGTGTTCTTGCTTTCACTTTTAATTAATTAAAGTTAAAATAATTGGTTGAGCTAAACAATAGGCGCAGATAAATACTTATTTTTTTTAAAAAAAAAATACATCAGATCCGGATAACATTTATTTCACCCACTCAAATAATAAAACTGTACTTACTAATCATTTATTATATTTTAAAAAAAAAGTGTATTATCTAAGAGGAAAAAAAAGGATAAAAATTTAAAAATAAAAAAAAGTTGTAGAAAACAAATATATGCAAAGAGTGCAAAGATTATCATTGGAGGAGAAGGAGGGTGGTGAATTTTTTATTTTATTTTTTCAATTGTAGCAAAAAAATAACATCATTCCAAATTCTCCTCTGATTCTGATTTAGAATTTTATCCAAAATAAAAATTAACATAAAAAAACTTTCTCCTTATGTTTTAGCTATTAGATTTCTGTAAATGGCATTGCCATTGTCGTTTTTCTTCATTCCGTCTTTTTCAATTTGCAAAAAAGTGTATTATTGTTCGTGTACGCATTCAAATCTACCATTAGCATTGTGAATTACAATTCACAATGCCGATTCCGGCGACTCAAATCGCGGGATTAGCGAATGGGATAAATGGATCCAGGAAAGTGAAACCAAATAATTTGAAGAAATTGTTTACTAAGGCGTTTCGTTCCACTGCTGTTAAATCCATTTTCAAATCGAAGGCTAAGCGTAAGCCTCCCGCTGAGATTGTTCGTCGGGTGAGATTTTTGTTGGAGGCTGTTGATTCCCTGGATGACAATGTTGATCCCAGTCATTTTGACAAGGTGACTTATTTTTTTATTATTAATTTTTTATTTTGATTATTCGTTGGGTAGCTGAATAAGAAATAAGTTATTCGTGTATTGATTTGATTTTTGTATAACTTATACGACATTTGGTAGATGGATAAAAAATAAGTTATTCAGGTATGAAATTAAAATGATGTTATAGTTGACAATTTGGAAACTTGCATAACTAATTCATGTATTATATTATATAGGATAGTAGATGGAATAAATAATGCATAAATAACTAATTCCTAAATAGATTCACTCGTAATTAATTTCTACATAACTAATACCTGCATAACTCTAATTCCGACTATGAGATTTCACATGCATGCTATTTCAAAAAAATTGTATTTTTTCTGTATCTTATGATACATAATGCTTTGCAGATGGAAGAACTGGATTCTCTTTTACATGAGCTGAAAGCAATGTTGTATGGTAGTAATGAATGTGAACCTGCTGTTGATGCGTGCGCGCAATTGACTCAGGAGTTTTTTCGAGAGAATACATTTCGTCTCATCATCATTTGTTTACCTAAATTGAACTTGGAGGTGAGTTTTTATACATTTGATTCTTGTGGAAGTATTTAAGCTTTTTACTATCTGTTGTTTTTAGTTAAAGGATGTTTTTTTGCCTTGTTTTATTGGCCGAACGTGTTACCAAAATGATCATTCGTTTCTTAGGCTCGTAAAGATGTCACACGAATTGTGGCCAATCTACAAAGGCAACCAGTTAATTCACGCTTGATTGCATCTGATTATTTGGAAGCCAACTCGGACCTTATGGATCATTTGGTATGCGGGTAAGCTAATCTGTATTTTTCTCCTTACCAGGTTGGCGGAATGCCCTCTCTTCCTCGTGATCTTTAACTTGAGCACGACCTTGTCCTCACTGTTTCTGTTATAGATATGATGATCCAGGTCTTGCTTTGCATTACGGAACAATGTTGAGGGAGTGTATTCGCCATCAAGTTGTTGCAAGGTAAGCAACTTTGTGAACACCGTTAATATGTTAATTGGAAGCTGCTATGATCAATGGTTTGTTTTGTGTTATTATTGACTCCGAGGTTCCTTCTTACTTTACCGATGAATAACAATGCTTCTTTGCTTTTTGTTTAAACCATCACTTCTTCTCGTCTTGTTGTTCTGTTCAACGTGTGTTATTATTAATCTCTGATTGATTTTATATTGTTTGTTTTATTAGTGTTTATGGGCAATTTTCCCATAATTTGTTGAATATTTGCAGATACGTATTAAACTCCGAGCACATGAAAAAGTTTTTCGATTACATGCAAATCCCAGAATTTGATGTTGCTGCAGATGCTACAGCGACCTTTAAGGTTATTAATCACAAATTCTGTGATGACAAGATTTCTTGATCTGTTTCAGATCTGTTAGGAATGCACTATTACCACTCGCCACATAATATTCGTCATAGTGTTACTCAACTTCGAATCATTTTTTTCGTTTGCAACTTGTTGCAGGAGCTTATGACCAGGCATAAATCCACAGTAGCTGAATTTCTCTCTGAAAATTATGATTGGGTATGTTATGATCCTCATTTGCCATTTGTATGATTTTCTTTATGTTAGTTCATTAACACCAACTTCATCCTACGACATACTGGTATAACATATTCTCCACTTTTCTTTGTTATAGTTCTTTGTTGAATTTAATGCGAAGCTTTTGGAATCAGCAAACTATATCACCAGAAGACAAGCTATCAAGGTAAAATAGATGTCATATTCTCGTCTCAAAGCACGTCTCAGCTTGATTTGGTGTTGGTTCCATGGACTTCAATGGTGTTCTTTCTCTTTGTATACATTTAAGTAATTTCTCTGCTATATTTCATCACGATAGAAGTATTTTTCATGTAAGTTTTATCCGCACTCTTATCTATTTTTCAGCTTTTGGGAGATATTTTACTTGATCGCTCAAATTCTGCTGTGATGACACGCTATGTCAGCTCGAAGGATAATCTAAGGATTTTGATGAATCTTTTGAGGGTATGTAATTCTACCAATGTGCCATAAGCTAGGACTTCTTTTCCCCTCGGAGCATTTTGCAACATCATACAAATTCTCCGAGTAATAAAGACAACGATGGAATAACTTCCTTCCATAATTTGATTCATGAGTTTAACTCTCGTCATTTGATTCTTTCGTGTCCATTTGCTAGTGTTATTATTTCACTATGTTTACTTGACACATTATTATACGACTCAATCTTGCTGCTACATTTCCTTCTCGGTCTTTTCATGTTTCAGGAGGCTAGCAAGAACATTCAACTAGATGCATTTCACGTGTTCAAGGTAATCAAATCTTCATAACAACTAATTATCTAGTGTTCATGTATGACGACTCCTCTTCACTTCTCTCTGCTTGTTCTTTTGTTCTGTTGACAGCTTTTCGTTGCCAATAGAAACAAGCCTACTGACATTGTCAACATAATCGTTGCCAATAGAAGCAAGCTTCTACGTTTCTTTGCAAGTTTCAGGATCGATAAAGGTACTAACTTTACTTCAACCAACCAATATAATCGTTGATATCATCTTCGTATGAGGAATGGTATATATAAATACAGAACATTGTCTGTTTGCAGAAGATGAACAATTCGAAGCAGATAAAGCTCAAGTTGTGAAAGAAATTGCAGAACTTGAAGCAAAAGGACCTCTTTTCTCAGGGGAACTGCATAAATTTCCCGGTACACCTACTGCTTCAGGAGAACTGTATAAGTTACCAACAACACCTCTCTCGAGACAACTTACATAATTTCCCAGAACTACGTTCCATGAGACCAACTACAAGCTCTGGAGAATCGCAAAAGCTTTAGTATACGAGTCATTGTTTTATGAATTATACTAAAATAAACGTTTTTTTAAAACTTTTTGAGTCTGTTGATCAAAGAATTACTAAATGCAGTGGAGTATGTCATCTTTGCTCTGGTTATTTGAAAGAGCATCGATAAGAAACATGTTATTCATGATGTAAATCGAACATTTGTCAATTTTCTTCATCTTAAACAACTTTATATATAACTTCTTACAACCATGTTCCTGAGTTTGTTGGCACTTGCATGCTTTATAGTACACTCATTTGCGATTCCTGAGATTCATATTATCGATCTTAACTTGTTTGGGATTGAAGTTACTGATTGTTGTAAAGGTTTTGTATTTAAAAGGTTTCAATTTTGAACTCATATGGGATTCTTGAGTATGCCTATTTATTAAAAATCCAGTCTATTCGGTGAAATTTCTAAAATCTATTTTATTTTGAACAATGTTTTGGCGAATAGTAAGTTGTATTTGGATAATCAATTTGAAAAAAAAAACAAGTTTACCTATATTAAAGCAATAATTTGTTGTATTTCCATGGAAAACCTATATTATTATTTTTTAAGATTCGGAAAAACAACTTATAATATTACGTACTCAAAACTCTTATTCATTACTTTTTTACTTAAAAGTTATGTCAAATATCGAGTTTTAACTCTCTAAAATAAGCACTTTTAATATTTCTGTCCAAATGGCTATTAGTGTAACTTCTCTTGTAATTGTGACCTCTTAGTAAAAGGCCATAAGACTCAAATAATCCCTCTTGTGTAATCATATGGTGATTATAAGAAGAAATGGGCTGGGTGGGCCTAACGAAAAAGCCCAAAGAGAAACCCGAGTGTATGAACACAGCAGAAGAATCGTCACTTCTCCCAGATCTTCATAGATTTGTTCAATTCACAAAATCGGAAAATTTTGCTCCAAATTTGAATTCTGGATTTCTGTTAGTTATATTTTCTTGAAGATTTTTGTGTAAATTGTTGTTACGATCCCCAAAATCGAAATGGTTTTCTGCTACCCATCATCTCCTTCAAAGTTTGCTGCTACATTGGCGTGTTTCTTTGGTGGTGCTGCTCTATTTGCTTTTGGTGTACATCATTCTTATATCAATATTGCTCCTCAACAAGCTCGAACTAAAGCTCGGAATGACTTTGTCAAGGATCGATTGAGAAAAAAATATGGCAAATAGTTCAATCTCTCCTCTTCTCGGTAACTTTTTATTTTCTGGTAATGTTGATTATTAGTAGCATTTTTGGATTCCTTGTACTTTTTTTTTTTGCTGTATTCTTGTTGTTTGTTTGTCAAATTTTAGCTGTATTGATTCCTCATTCCAAAAGATTTCATTGGATTATTTGTAATTATTAGGAGAGATTGTGCTCGAAAAGTTAATCGAACGAGACTTGTGAATTGATGATTTGAACCAAATAAAGAAACTTTTAGGTATGTGCTTCATTTGATGATTCATTAGACATCCTCAGCTGTGGTGAGCGCTGTGTATTATACTCACACACGCGCAATGTATCAATGAAGAACAAAACTGGAAAGCATATTATCAACTGTCATTCGCAATCTCTAGGAAGTAATTCATGCCTTTATTAGTGATATACCTTAAGCTTGATACCATTGTGATTCCTTACTAATGTAGGAACTTATGAGCTAAGATCATGAAGAACTTTTCGTTTGGTTATAATGTAGGAACTAATGAGCTAAGATCATGAAGAACTTTTCGTTTGGTTATGACTTATGATGTAGGCTTACGAACAGATAGAATTAAGTGGTCAAGTGTGATGCGATTTCCGTGAGGCAGTCTAAATATATTAGACATTAAGCACATCCTCTTTTCTTCTCTATCCAAAAACCAACCTACCTCAATATTCTATTTCTGTTTTTCACAATGGCGCAAAAAAGAAATCCCTTCACCATTCAATCTCAAGACATCATTTGTTCTTTTTCAACCACATATCGTACAAACAAAATACCTTTCTCCTTCTCTTTTCACCACAAACTCCCCATGCTTACATTTTGCTACCACTCAACCCTGAAACATTGCATTTTTGTCGAAAATGTTAATTTGTGCAGTGTCGTCTCCTTTTAACTTTGTCAAATTACTTCCTCGACAGCTTAGCCTATTGCAACAAAGATATAACTAGCATTGTTGTTTGTGATCTGCTGGTGGAGTGTATGAACGTCACCACATATCTCTATCAATTAAGGTGTATCGATGGCCAGGAGTATATTTAAGTTAACAAATGTGGATGGGTGCAGTATGGCTAATCCAGGGGTTGCCGGAGGTGGTAGAGTTGTTAGAGATCATGATGGCCTTTGCTTCTTTCTATGGCATTTGCAGTAATGGTAGAAGGCAGAAGCTAAGGCTATTCTCCAAGGATTGAGCATGTGCATTGACAGAGGCTACCTTATGACTATTGTAGAGTCCGACTCTATGCTATTGGTTGATATAATCAATAGGAAAGTACTCCGTGGCAGATATATAGCATCAATCATCAATCAGATTTGGTCCTTGATGCATAAAGGGGTTCTTTTTTTGTCCACGTCTTTAGGGAAGGAAATGGCATTTCAGATCAGATGGCTAATTTGGGTGTTACAGACAGAGCACATTGTTGTCGTCACTGTAGATCTCTCTTTGCCAAGCCAATCTAGAGCTTCACTGAAGCAAGAGCAGGATCGAATATGACTAATACACCAAACCTTGTTTGTGGTACTCAGTGTACTTGTATAGCTTTGTGCTCACTTTACTCTTTTGTTCTATATGGAAAAAGAAAGATCTATCGCTGTGTAGACTCTGCGGTTGATGCAAATGAACTGTGCTATAGCTAAAACCATTTGTATTTCGTGTGTTGGAGGCTAAGGTGTATGTCCTCCTCCGTGCAATCTTTATTTTTCATGTATATAATCACTATCGTGAATCCTTCGATTAAGGAAAATGTGGATGCGTAAGCTACATACATGTTTATATCAAGTAACTGTACCATAAATTTACTAACGTTGCTTTTGACTGTTCCATGCTTCAGCTTGCAAATTTCTGTCATTGAAGTTGTAACACAGAATAATTAGTCATTAGGTCTGCAACATTTATTTGCAATCTTATATTACGTGATGAATAGAATATAAAGATTAAAGGCTGTGTATGAAAACTACTAACTACATTGATCATTGCTTACATCCAATACAGAATTCTTACAAACAAATAGGCAATAAACCCCAGACACCCACTCAATCTGACCCAAAATGGAAAAAAAGGGGAGGGAAGGGATGAAAAATAGAAACAAGGAAGAATGTAAAGAATAAACAAGAGCTGAAAATTTTGATACATCGCAAGTACAAGGAAACAATCACGTGTTAAATGAGCTGACCCGAGACTACCGCCGCCACCATGTGCGACTCCATAATCACCAGAGAGAGGTTTGATCAGCAAGATTGTTAAAACAAATTGTACAAAATGGTGGCACCAAGGCAGAAATGATCATCACTATACCATGAAAATTGCTAGAAGAATTGCGACTGAGCTCATGAGAATGCTAGCAACAACTGAGGATTGGCCATTTGGAGCGGTAGTGGGAGCTCTAGCTGTAGAACCATTGTCATTACTTGGCTTTATCTTTGCAATAGGTGGAAGAGGTGGCTCAGTCACATCACTTACATCGAGCACGGGGCTGGGAGGTTCGACGGGTGGCATAGACTGAAGAGTCATGAGTCCCAAGAGACTCCCAGGTTGAACAGGGCTCATATATGGTGGCAAGTTTTTGTATGCTAAACAACGGTTCCCTGTACATTCCCAACAATTGGTATATGTCAAATTGAGGATATATAGTAATCTTGCATTTCGTACGCACAACTTAATGGATATGAGCAAGCAAAAGCTCTGGTAAAAAATACACAAATCTAGCAGATTGCACCAGAGATTCATCTATACTGAATAATGTTTGGGGATGATGAATATAGAAACTAAAAGAGAAAGAAAGGGGAAAGGGGGAAGAAGGGGTTGGGGTTGGAACACAGTATGAGAAATAACAAAGGTATATAAATAACTTACTTCGGTATCTAGCCGCTGTGCCAGGATATTCTGTAACAAGACCATCAACGCCAGCTCCAAGAACATAGTTGTTTAACTCAGCAGATGAATCTGAGAAGAAGTCCCATGCTTGAGATATAAACTCGTTATTAAATAGTCGCACATATACGGGGAGATTTGCTGACTGCAGCTTCTGCACAACATTCGTTTGACCAATGATAAAAGCGTCTTCACTGGGGAAGACTGATTTCTTGGTTATGACAACAGATTTTGCAAAGGTCTTGATCTCCAATAAAGTTGAGTTCTTAATATCACTGATATCCTCGTCAACCAAATAAACAAGTTCATAACTACTCTTCTTGAATTCTTCCAGAACAGAACTGTCATTTGATTGGATCATAACTTTCCTAGCTGTCTGATTATTGTAACCAGCTGTGCTTAAGGCGTCCGAAACAGCATCAGTTACACCTAATCCCTGCTTTGCCAGGTATGCGGCATTCTGCATGAAGCCAGAATATAGTGTCAAATAATGAGAAAGGAGGTAAAACCTCCAGTGTACAAAGATATCCATTAAATCAGATTTTTTTCTCGTATAAACATAAAAAAAATACAGCTACTTTGACTGTTCTTTCCTCTTCTTTTTTTTGTGATGTCAAAGTTCTTATTGAATTTCTTATAATCCTTTATTCCTTTCTACATTGAGTGGGTAATCACCTTCATTAAGTAATGAAAATAGAATTATTATGATTCTGCTACTAAAAAGGAAGTCATTATTGTACACTTGGAAAGCAGTTAAAATTGCTTCAGTTGTAACTTGTAGAGAACATTTCAGAAAATTGGAGATATTGAGATCCTTTATGTATCCAGCAGACGATTAAACCTTTACTAGTCATAAAGTGAATCCTTTAAATATATAGACCATTTTCCAAAAGCATTTTCTGGTTCTAAATTCTTTCGAGGGAAAGTTTGGCATGTTTTCCACATTCAATCACCTATGAAATAGCATAAGAAGCTATGGAATTCTCACTCAGAATGAGAAGTGATAAGGAGTGAGTATATAACTTATAAGCATTTAGGATTCGGAAATGAGCTTACACTATATTGATGCATAAGAATATAG